TTACAGCTAGCTATGTGAGTTCTTATTTCAGGTAAAAGTTCCTAAATCCACTCAGGTGGTCTCTCTCCCTTCACCTGACTTGTCACTGGGGTGATCTGAGAAGAGTCAGTGACTACTGTGTCAGCGACTGCCAAGACTCGCACCTGAGAGGAATGTCCTGCTGAAAGGCGTGTTTGACCTGCAGGCTTCAAGTGCACCCTGTGGATTCAGCTCTAGAATCTAAAGATCCAGTTGAAAACTAAGACCACTGTCCATGGATGTTGCAAGACCCAAATCATGAGGCCAGTCTAAACTTGATACCAAATAGAGGAGGATCAGAGTGGAAAGTATATTATTGGCAGTGCCACATTTGAACGAGGAGGCAAACATCCTACTACCATTGTGAGCACACAACAGAGGTCTCACTTTTGTACTTGCATTTGGGCAGTTCTTTAATATGGTCCATGGATACGGCACTGGATTCATGGAAAGACAATACTGTATTCTAACCCCTTATCTTCTCATCACTAAATAGAGGACTTTGATCAAGTCACAGTTTAGCTTCTTGAACCTCAGAAAACTGGGGATGATAATACCATTCTGGGAGGTTACTGTAGCAGTTTTATAAGATAAAGTAAGTGCAAGCTTGTTGCATCTTATAAATATGCTATAAATCATTCAACTAGGTTTGGCTGGTGGTTAATTCAGGCTGATGAATGGAGATAAAGTCGAAAGATGGAAATGCAAAAGGCCTGGGGAGAACAGAGTAAAGGGATAGATTTTGAGTAATTCTGTAAAAAGAAAGATGGTAATCTTGGGAAAAAACCCAAAGAATTTCCAGACCAAGAAAAGGGCATTTACTTAAGTTGACTTGCTGGGAGCCAAGGGCTTTACACAGTTGTAATGGTCTGTTGTCCATTTCTGAGCATAGTTGTAAGCAGCTTGTCCCTGGGAGGGGACAGGAGCCAGTGAATGGCCATGAAGTCTACAATGGATTCTATACCTCCTGAAGCCAGAGTGGAAAACGTGGGGGGCTGTACACAGGCGATAGTCTGTATTGTAATGAGATCCAGTTTTGGCGTATAGCAGGGGAGCTTTCTGAACCTCAGTGATTTCTTCAGAAAATAGAAATTATGTGTCTCTTTCAGACCCTGGGAGAAGGGATTCGTTTAAGAAACCAAACACAGTGTCTGACCCTGGTGGGAGTATGATAATTGGCACCTGTTTGGAATATTACTGCTAATGCCACAGTACATTTGGACAGCAGGATAACAGCACAGTTTCCATGTTTCCGAGTCCCCGCTACTTCAAAATTTTTCAACCCCAAATGTAGCCTGTTCCTATGCTTGGACCCTTTGGAGCCGAAGTAGATCACCAGCATTAATGTGCCTCAGAATTCTTACAGAGCTTTTTAATAAGCACAGCAGATAGAGCCCACCCAGACCTACTTAAACCAGAGTCTCTGGAGTGGAACTTTTTCTAACCTTGTGACAAAGGTAATTGCAGTCACAGCTAGGGCAGAGAACTCAAGCTAGGAGCCAGTGAATTGAAGCATTGCATTTCCAGGCTTCCCTGTTAGAAGGCAAATGTCACCCAGGACAGGTAAAAATGAAGGCATAGCCAGCCTTTCACACTGAAATACAATCATTGGTGGGATTATTTGTTATCAGTCAAGGAGACCAGGAGGAGATTCCTAGGATGTGTTAAAGGGAACATGGAGGCTGTGAGTGAAATCACTCAGTTGTGCCCCACTCTTTGCGACACCATAGACTGTCGCCTTCTAGGCTCCTCAGTCCACGGGATTTTCCAGGCAAGAATACTGGAGTGGGTTGCCATTTCCTTCTCCAGGGGATCTTCCCAACCCAGGGATAGAACCCGGGTCCCCCATGTTATGGGCAGACGCTTTACCAGCTGAGCCACCAGCAAAGCTCCAATACAGCCTCATCTATCAAACGAGGTCACATATCACAGAGGTGTTGATGGATTGAGTGACATGAGGGGTCAGCACTCCATACATCACGTCTGCTTTCAGAGGATGGGTGAGGCAGGCATGCTAGGAAGAGGTGACGGCAGGACACCCAGGCTGGATGGGGAGTGAGCCTGGCCTGTCTTCTGTAGGAGGGAGCTTTGTTCAGCAGGTTCATGGTACAGGAGTGTCATGGAGAGAGGAGCCTGCAGTCTGAGGAGCCTGTGTGGTGGGGACAAAGGCAGAAACAGGCATAGAAATATGAGGCTCGTTGTTGTTGTTCAGTCACCAAGTCATGTCCAACACTTTTGCAATTATAACCCATGAACTATAGCCCCCAGGCTCCTCCCTCCATGGGCTTCTCCAGGCAAGGATACTGGAGTGGGTTGCCATTCCCTTCTTCTGGCGATCTTCCCAATCCGAGATCAAACCCATGTCTCCTGCACTGCAGGCGGACTCTTTACTGCTGACCACCAGGGAGACAGAATCTGCCCTGCAACTGTTCCCCACAGATTTCCAAAAAAAAGCGAGCCTCAGGGCTCAGTGATTACAGGAGTTTCCTAGGCCCAGCATAACAAAGTACGCGAAAGGGTGGCTTAAACAACAAAAGGTATTCTCTCACAGTTCTGAAGGTCAGAAGTTCAAACTCAAGGGTCATGCTCCTCCTGAAGACCCTAGGGAAGGATCCACTCCATGCTGTTTTTGTGACTTCTGGTGGCCATCCATCCTCGGACTTCCTTTAAAAAAAAAAAAAACTCATTTTACTGTTAAGATTGTCAATCATTTCTTGTGTCACCAAATTTTAAAAGTCAGCAGTTATTTGTAATTTCCTAAAAGTAGATTCAAGGTTCCTGGGTGAAGGTCAGATTAATCATTTTAAGTTTTATATCTATGCAGTTCAAAATTTTTCTAATTGGTGTATAGTTGCTTTTCATACTGTTCATGGGCAGTATGAAAAGCAACTATACCCCAATTTTTTAAAAAATTCAAGCTGTATAGGTATAAAACTTTTTTTAAAAAAGCTACACTATGTTTTTTCCAGTAGTCATGTGTGGATGTGAAAGTTGGACACATTCTTTGGCTGAGCACCAAAGAATCGATGCTTTTAATTGTGGCACTAGAGAAGGACTGATGCTGAAGCTGAAGCTCCAATACCTTGGGCACTTGATGGGAAGAGCCGACTTAATGGAAAAGACCTTGATGCTGGGAAAGATTAAGGGCAAGAGGAGAAGGAGGTGACAGAGGATGAGATGTTTGGATGGCATCACTGACTCAATGGACATGAGTCTGAGTAACCTCTGGGAGATAGAGAAGAACAGAGGAGCCTGCTGCAGTCCATGGGGTCGCAAAGAGTCAGATATGACTGAGGAACACACCACAGTTCTTTCAATGCTGTGTTGGCTTCTCCTGTGTATAGTACTGGGAGTTCAGCTCTGCGCTCCGTGGTGACCTAGATGGCGGGGGAAGGAGGTCCAAGAGAGAGGGGATGTATACACGCTTACAGCTGCTCCTCGGCCAGCCTCAGTTTGCAGATGCACACTTCCGGCCTCTGTGCCTGTCTTCACGTTCTCTCTGCATCTGTGTCCTCACACTGCCTGCTCAGGAGGACACCATTCATTGGATTTAGGGCCAGTCCTAACCCAATGGGCTTCCTAAGTGGCTCAGTGATAAAGAATCCATCCGCCGATGCAGAAGATGGAAATACACAAGTTCAATCCCCAGGTCGGGAGGATCCCCTGAAGGAGGAAAGGGCAACCCAGTCCAGTATCCTTGCTTGGAGAAGTTCACAGGCAGAGAAGCCTGGCTGTCTACAGTCTGTGGGGCCACAAAGAGCCAGACACAACTGACCTTCTGAGCACTAACCCAGTGTGACCTCATCTCAACTAATTACGTCTGCCAAGATGCTATTCTCAGATAAGCTCCCATGCTGAGGTTCTGTGTGGATGTGACTTTTTGTGCAACCCTATTCAACCCAGTCCAGGGATGATGATCACTGAAGACCCTTGTGACTTTTCTCCTCTGTCCTGTATCTGCACTGAACTATAATCTCTTGCTGGTTGTTCACAATATATAATAGCCAACTGTTTACAAGTCTATGTCCTACCAAATGGTGAGATGTTGAGAGCAGAGCCCAAAATTTTGCTTTGTTTTTGTATTTTATTATTTGCTTGTTTGTTTTTTCTGGCCATGTGGCATGCAGGATTTTAGTTCCCTTACCAGAGATTGAACCTGTGCCCCCTGCAATGGAAGCTCAGAGTCCTAACCACTGGACCAAGAGGAAATTCTCCTGTTTGGGGTTTTTTACACCTTTCAGTATCCAGGGTGTAGCACGGGACCATGTTTATGACTGGCCTTCAGTAAACATGTATGAAATGTCATCGGGTTACAGTCATTTTTTGCAAGACTGACCCTTAGGATCTCTGCCCTTGAGGATATTAGAATCCAGGAGAATGTCTGAAGGCTTCTGGAGGCAAACAAACCAGGCCAGAGCTGAAAAACCACCTACCACGCTGCTACTTTGCCTTCAGGATTGGAAATGTCTAGCTGGTTTCTTGTCTGTTACTTGCACATTGTGGGACACATTTCCCCCATTCTGACCTCAGTTTCCCACAGTAAATAAGGGATTCGGACCATAGTCCCCAAATCCTTTCATCTCTAAGCTCCTTTATCTTTACGATCACATGGGTCACAATCAGCCAGAACTGAGGTTATTAAGAGAGAAGCATCGGAAGCACCAGTGAGGGAAGCTTCCTGAATGCATCAGCTTCCAATTCACTGTGACCAGCCTTTTCCTATTCAGCTGCGGTGTCTGCGGCTCAGGTGAGAAATCGCTCCCATTGCCTGGCAGGCCGTGAGCTGAAATTCCTCCAGTGAAGATTGCCAAGGTGCCCGAGATCAATGATAAACACAATCTTTTCACTCCAACCCTCCATTTAGATCCGCTTCCCTTTTGAATCTCAATTGGTTACAGCAGGCTTTGGATTCCTTGCTGAGGAGGTGTTTGGCAAATCATGAAAGGGCGAAGGCTCCCCAGAGAGGAGATTTTCCCCTTATATCAGAACCTTTCAAAATAGCAGGAGGAGTGAAGAACTGCAAATGGGCGGCCAACCAGCTCCTCACCCGGTGAGAAGAGGTGGGACTGAATTTTCACCTCCAGGCAGCGGAAGATTTTCTTTCTTGAGAGCGACAACTTTTTTCTGAAGGAATATGGAACCAACACGTTCTCCAGGAAGCCCTCCCTGGTCACGCCCTCCCGAGACTGGGGTACCGCGCTCTGTGTATCCGCTATTTCTGAACTTACTTTCAGGCTGAGCTCAGCACACTGGGTCGCAGTGTCTGTTTCTCCCCTTCCGCGCTCTGACGCATAGAGCGCGTCTGCCCTTCCAAACCACTGCTCCGTGCATCTTTCCTCGGGTTTTCCTGCAAAGAGATCTTGGAACAAGGTCCCGGAGGAAGGTAGCTCATCCAGAGGGTTACTGCAGGAAGCATTTGTGAGGAATGAGAAAAGTGAGACAGTAAAAGGAGAAACGTCGAGAGGAGGGCGTGTTTATAGCTGGAGCCCCGTGCCGCTGCGGACCCCTGAAGAACCTCGTGGAATGAGTTTGAGAACTGACCCACTGAGGGCTGATGGTAAAGCTGCAGCACTTTTCTGTGGCTTCTGCTTCCCACTGGTGGCGAGTTTCCCACGGGAGGCAGTAAATGCTCTGCCGTTTTGGCTGCCTCGATATCCAGCCAGAAGGGGGCGCTCTTGTGAAATCAGGAAAGCAAAGGTGGGGCGCACACAGGACCGCAGAAGGTGCTGCTGAGGGCGGTCAGGGCAGCCCCAAGGTCCGGGGGGTGGGTGGGCAGGCGGACGGTGGAGGGGGGCGCTCTCCACCCGCAACCCTGGTGCTGTTTGTTCACATAATCAGGCCTGCCCCGACACCTGCCCCTTCATCCTTGTGTCAAGGGCACTGCTGAGGACTTCGTCGGTATCGTTGTGTTGAACTGAAGGAAGAGTTTTCACTGGACACAGGACTCTCACAGAAGAAAGGGTCCATGGTGGGGTTCTGGGACATTTTCAAAGAGGCTCCAGAGTCAATCCAAAAGGGTCTCTTAAAACAACCACAGCTGACACTCCAGTAGCTGGCTGTCTGGCTGGCTGATGGGGGATTTCTGCCCCTCACAGGTTTTTTTAAAACTTAAATTATGTGCTGTAAGTCAGTGTTTCCAAAGTGTGTTCCAAGTAACAGATTAGATAAGAAAGGAGAGGGGCCATCCAGATAGCTCAGAAAACACTAATAAGGCCCCACTGAACACTGTGGGAAATCCCAGATCTTAAGAGTTTATAGAAATGGTACTGATGAACCTGTCTGCAGGGCAGAAATGGAGACGCAGATGTGGAGAATGGACTTGTGGGCCCAGTGGGGGAAGCAGCGGGTGGGAGGAACTGAGAGAACAGCGTTGGCATCTATCCCTTACCCTGTGCAAGTAGACAGCTAGTGGGGAGCTGCTTGCAACACACGGAGCTCGGCTCTGGGCTCTGTGATGACCGAGAGAGTGGGAGGGGGTCTTGGGAAGGAGGCTCAAGAGGGAATGGGTATGTGTGTCCTGAGCAGCTGATTCACATTGTTCTACAGCAGAAACTAGCACAAAATTGTAAAGCAACTATACTTCAATTAATTTTTTTTAATTAAAAAGAGTTTATAGAGAGGCCATAATGGGATTCAGCCTCATACACCATCCAGATCATCTCAAGCACACATGTTCTTCCACAGCTGCATTCTTGGAACAGCTCCCACTGTGGGAACAGACCAGAGTGTACATTCCAAGGAATCGGGGGTGTGGTGGTGAGGAGCCTCCAGTTGCCCTGGTCCAGCTTGCGGGTCACATGGCAGCCATCTCCTCTCCATGACCTCCCCGTCGTCAGATGTGATTTCCCTGCTCATCTTCTCAGTCCCAAGGATGGACACAACACAGCATCTGACAAGATCCAGAAAGCAGTATCTGCAGCTAAGATGCAGGGTTCGTTGGCCACTCAGCAGAGCTGTCTAATACAGAGGGAGTCTTTCATCTCTTAACAGGGAAAAGAAGTGATTATGATGTTGAACCAAATACCAAAAGGTGTTTTCTTGCAGTTCCTCTTGGAATTAGCTAGTCTTTTAGGAAAACTATTGCCTGAATTGGGATCTTAAATAATCAAACTTTTGCTCCAGTGACAAGAATAACATTTAGTGAGCACTTACTCTGTGGAAGCTTTGTGTGCTTTGTCTTATGTTATCTTCTCAACAAAACTCCTCGGGAAGTATTTCTAGTCTCGTTTACAGAAGAAGAAACTGAACTCAGAGAGTTTAACTGACTTTTTCAAGGTCAAACAAAGGATAACCAGGATTTGAAACAGGCCTGGAATTCAAACAAAATCTGTATTCTTTCCCTCATATCATCCTAGAGTAGCAATCATCAGCTACTGGAGATGCTAACAAAGGCCTCCTTTGAGGGGCCTGTAATGAGGTACATTCAGCACAAAAGACATCTCCCTCCTGACACCATTAAAATGTTTCTCACAAAACAACTTAGTAAAAAAGATTCCCCTCATCTCCTCAAATTATTGGAAATATTTCTCCCAACCAAAATGAGAAAAATTCTTCTTGGATTTTTTTTTAAATAATTGGGTCTTTGAGTACTTCCCCAGTGATGTCATGTTGAAACAAATGATCTTTGAATTTGATCAGACAGGAAAATAAGGAAGCGTCTCTGAGACTCTTGATGATCCTGGAAACATCCGCTCATGGATAACAATTCCTACTCACTGATGCCAGCTGTGATTCTAGTCTTTTAAAAGATGTCCTGCTGACCATCAGCTTAAAGGGGACTCAGTCAATCAGTAAAGGTTTCCAGGAAGACTTCTGTGTGCTAAACACCATGCTGGGTACAGAGGACAGTTTATATACTGATACATTATCTTCTTTGTCATAATTATACCAGCTGTTGTTGTTCAGTGGCTAAGTCATGTCCAACTGCTTGTGACCCCCATGAACTGCAGCATGCTAGGCTTCCCTGTCCTTCACTATCTCCTGGAGTTTGCTAGAACTCATGTCCTTTGAGTCAGTGGTGCCATCCAACCATCTCATCCTTTGTCACCCTCTTCTCCTCCCACCTTCAATCTTTCCCAGCATCAGGATCTTTTCCAATGAGTCAGCTCTTTGCATCAAGTGGTCAAAGTATTAGAGCTTCAGCTTCAGCCTCAGTCCTTCTAACGAATATTCAGGGTTAATTTTCTTTAGGATTCCACAGGCATTTATCACAGATCTGGAGGCTGTGAGCTAGGGTGCTGATGTGGTCAGGTCCAAGCCAGGACTGGCTTCCTGAGGTGCAGGTGCTCACTAGCTCGCTGTGTCCACATGTGGTCTTCCCTCAGGTGTGTGTAGAGAGACACAGAGTGAGCTCTGGTGCCTCTTTCTCCTCTTATAAGGGCACTAATCTCTTCACGGAGGCCCCACCCTCATGACCAATTACTTGTCTAAGGTGGGACCTCCACCTTCAAACATCATCACCTTGGAGGTTAAGGCTCCAAGTTAGAAAGTTGGGGAACAGAGGTCATCAGTCTATAAAGCATGGGCAGTCCAGGAGCATCTCCTCTCCCCTTCTACCCTCTTACCTCTCCTTCTCATTCAGAAGGCCTGAGTGTCCTCTGTGTGCCAGACAGTCTTGTATACGCTGCAGACAACACCAGGGACAGGAAAGAAGTAGCCTTCATATCTGTGGACCTTCTGCTTCCAAGACTCTCCTCCAGGAAAACTTCCTTACTTAACCCTCTTTTCTCTGATCTTCCTTTAGCTGATGCTCCTTTGCATCCTTTTTTAACATGTTTTGTTCATTTGACTGCACTGGGTCTTTGTTGCTGTGCATGGGCTCTCTCCAGCTGTGGTGAACAGGGGCTACTCTCCAGTGTGATGTGTGGGCCTCTCATTGTAGTGGCTTCTCTTGTTGCAGAGCACAGGCTCTAGAGCTCACAGGCTGAGTAGCTGCAGAACCCGGGCTTAGTTGCCCCGAGGCATGTGCGAACTTCCTGGACCAGGGCTTGAACACACGTCCCCCGCACTGGCGGGCGGATTCTTAACCACTGGGCCACCACGGGAGTTCTCCTTTGTATCCTTTGATCCTGCTCCTCTCTCAGGAAAAACCTCTTGAGCATACATTCTTCTGTATATGTATTATTTATTTACAAATTACATGCATATTCTAATATATAGTGTATACTATAACAATACAGGTATCCCCCATGGTCCAAAACCTTTCATGAGCCAAAGTGGCGTAAAGAGAAAAAGCAATGATCTTAAGATGCATGTTGCTCACGAATGCACAAAACGAATGGAGATAAAGCACAGATGCTCACAGACACAGTTCAAAGCCGTGGTGGCTCCATGCTGAGATGCTGAGTGTGGTTCCTGGGGAAGCAGCTCTCTGCTCTGGATGCTCACTCCTTCTGTAGTGGCAGCTGCAAATAACACTGAATGCAATTATTGATTTCTTCCAATTATCAAAGACAAGTCCTAATGTGGGTTTACACAAACAAGGGCCACACTCAATTTGAAATGTTAATTCTGACTTGTTCCTTTGAAAGTTAGTCTTTTATCTCTTTCAATAATTTTTAGGACAGTTGTAGATTTATGGAATCATTACAAAGATAGTACAGTTTCTGTACACCCCACACCCAGTACCCCCTTATTAGTAGTGTATTACATTAGTATGGTGCATTTGTCACATGAGTTTATCTTGATTTGTTGTTATTTACCGAAGTACATACTTTATTCAGATTTCCTCAGTTTTTCCCTAATGTCCTCTTTCTCTTCCAGAATCCCACCCAGGTTACCACCTAACATTTAGTCAAGTGTCTCCTTAGGCACCTGTTGTCTATGACAGTTTTAAAGACTTTATTTTTTTTTAATAAAATTCTTTAATGATTTTTAAAAAGCAGGTGACTTAAAGCAAACTGTCAAAAGGGGGGAGGGGATAATTATTTATAAAGCCTCCATTTTTGATAACAGAGTAAAACTTTGAGGGAAGAGAAGTGCTGAGTGATTTCCCAACACTGCGATGACGTGAACCCGTAGTATGAACACAGCCTTCTTTGGATCCTCTGGTCCTCACAGGGACCCACTTCCCTGAGCCCTCTGAGAGCTCTCACTCATCCTTGTGGAGCTGACTCTTTAAAACCTGTCTGTCTCTCCATGTTGAAGACTGCCTCACCCATCTCTGTGTCCCAGTCACAGAGGGGATTCTCCTGTAGACTTGTATGGAAATACACACACACACAAATGAGGCATTGATACTGTTAGCAATGAATATGATCACAATTCCAAGAGTGGGAGGAGGCCAATTCTCTCCTTAGGTCTTCCCACAGTTCCTTCATTGGATCGTCCAAGGTTCTAGATCTTGAAACCAATGTCAACTGAATCATGTGACCTGACAAAATGAGTGTTAAATGGTGTTGAGGGTTTGCCGACATCAGGCACGGTACTAAGGACTCTAATGATGCTTCTGTAACCTTGACAACAGCCTCACAAGCCTGCTGTACCCCTCTCTGCAGAAAAGAGAACATGAACGCGTTAAGCAATTTCCCCAAGGTCACAAAGGTAGAGCTAGAGGTAGAAATAAGACCCGCCTCCAAGAACAGCCTTTTTAATCACTGCTGCTGCTACTGCTAAATACACCAAGTCAATTCCCAAAGGACTCTCCCATAAGCCCTGCGTCAATACATGAATGTGCATCTGTAGAAGGAAGACTTCGTCCTGATGTACGACTGTTTTAAGCACATCT